AGAATGGCCACTGCCCTCAATTTTGCTCAAGAGCGGGCTTAGGACACAGATCAGATGCATTCCTCATCAAATGGGATGCGCTGCTACTCTATGCCTTTCCTCCCTTCCCCCTTCTGTTCTGAGTACTCCACAAGATCCCACGGGACTGAGCCCATGTCATCCTTATAGCTCCGCCATGGCCACAACAGATCTGCTATACTTACGTCATTCACATGACGGTATGCCTGCCAATCTCTCTCCGTCCGACTCTGCAACTTCTTTCACAGGATGCATCCTCTATCCCAATCCACAGCTGCTCCACCTGAAATCATGGCTCCTCCATGGTTCCAGGACTCAGAAATAACCTGTTTAGAAGCAGTTAAATAAGTACTCTTGAACAGCAGGTCTGATACGACTAGATGCACTTACCTCCACAATTGGACTGGATTCCAATCCTGGTGCACCTCCAATCAGGTCAAGGCAACAAGCACTCCATTACTACTTATCCTGGACTATATTTGACACCTTAACAATTGGGGTTATCCAGAAGCTCCATTTGTGTGCATTTGGGAACCATCATGACTTTCCACTAGGAGATAGATAGCCACTCCGTCCTCACCCACCCACTCATGAAACTATTCCTGAAGGACCTCCAAAATCTTTATCCTATGGGATCCAACTCCAGCTTGGGACTCTGACCTTATCATATGCTTTCTTTCTAGACCTCCATTCAACTCAATGGCAACATGCTCCTAATGTCCATTTATCTATGAAAACAGCTTTTCTTGTCTCTAGCACCTCTGCCCGGTGGGTTGGTGAAATTGGAGCATGGTATGGCATACCCCTGTGGACAATTTTTTCATAAAGACAAGGTTACACTATGTCCATATCCCAAATTTTTACACAAGGTGCCATCCTTTTTCCAGCTAAATCAACCTATTCACTTTCCGTGCTTCTTTCCAAACTAACACAGCAACCAACAGGAGGCAATGTTGCACACCCTGGACATCAGACAAGCATTAGCTTTCTTACTGGACAGAACTAAACCTTTCAGAAAATTGCCGCACTTATTCCTCTCAACAGCTGAAAGACTGAAAGGCACTGCCATTTCTAAGCAATGCCTTTCCAAGTGGATCTAACAGTGTATACACCTGTCCTATCAACTACACAATAAACAACCTCTTCCTGGAACTCAAGCACATTTCACTTGCTCTCTAGCCACCTTGATTGCCTTTCTCAACAATGTCCTGATTGCTGACATTTGCAAAGCAGCCACATGGGCATCCGCAGCCACCTGTAGCTGTCACTACTCCATTACTCAGGACGCCGCATCAGATACTCTGGTAGGACACACTGTCCTATCATTGACAGTAAATGCTGCTCCGAAGCCCCAGCCTTCCAATGAGGGGCACTGCTTTATAGTCACCCACAGTGTAGCACCCATAGGGACATCACTTGAAGAAGAAGAAGAGAAGTTACTCACTCTATGCAGTGGTGAGGATTTTTGAGATGTGTCCCCCTACAGGTGCTCCACTACCCACACTCCTTCCCTTTGCTGCAGAGCTGAAAGATAAGCTCTGTGGCTGAAAAGGAACTGGGGGAGTGTGGGTGGGGCAGTCAGACTGCACAGAATTTTATATATGTCCCTCTCATGGCATGAGATCGGGAGCTGTGCACGTGTGGGCCGATGGGCCCTGCTGATGAAGATCCCTGATCCCAGATGTAAAGGGCGCTGCTGGACCTGCAGTGGAGCACCCAAAGAGACACATCCCGAAGAACCTCAGTTATTGCACAGGATGAGTAACCTTCTCTTTTAGTGTTTCATAAGCTGTTTTCTAAAAGAAATTCACTTAATTCATTTACGTTTAGAGGCCCAAAAGATGTAGAAAATGTCAGAGTCTAAAACAAAGCCCAGAAATGCTCAGGATGGGCAGATGGTCCAAAAACTGCCCAAAGCGGTTCAAAGAGATAATCAAATACCAGCCCCCATACAAGTTGATGCAAAAGCCATCACACAGAGAGATCCTCCACAGTCAGCTTAGTCACCTGCTCCAATGTGATCCCCAATAATCCGCTTGAGAAATACCACCCAATAATCAACCCCCAAAATACTCCCAAAACCACACACACTACACAGTTCAGGAGATGTGGGCCCCCAAAACCCACTGCCCATAACCTAGGTTTCAGAGTAGCAGCCGTGTTAGTCTGTATCCGCAAAAAGAACAGGAGTACTTGTGGCACCTTAGAGACTAACAAATTTATTTGAGTATAAGCTTTCGTGGGCTACAGCCCACTTCTTCAGATGCATAGAATGGAACATACAGCAAGAAGATATTTATACATATAGAGAACATGAAAAAGTGGAAGTAGCCATACCAACTGTAAGAGGCCAATCAATTGAGATGAGCTATCATCAGCAAGAGAAAAAAAACTTTTGAAGTGATAATCGAGATGACCCATAGAAGGTGTGAGGATACTTAACATGGGGAAATAGATTCAATTAGTGTAATGACCCAACCATTCCCAGTCTCTGTTCAAACCTAAGTTAATTGTATCTAATTTGCATATTAATTCAAGTTCAGCAGTCTCTCTTTGGAGTCTGTTTTTGAAGTTTTTTTGTTGTAAAATTGCCACCTTCAAGTCTGTCACTGAGTGGTTAGAGAGATTAAAGTGTTCTTCCACTGGTTTTTGAATGTTATGATTCCTGATGTCAGATTTGTGTCCATTTATTCTTTTGTGTAGAGACTGTCCAGTTTGGCCAATGTATATGGCAGAGGGGCATTGCTGGCACATGATGGCATATATCACGTTGGTAGATGTGCAGGTGAACGAGCCTCTGATGGCGTGGCTGATGTGATTAGGTCCTATGATGGTGTCACTTGAATAAATAGGTGGACAGAGTTGGCATCGGGCTTTGTTGCAAGGATAGGTTCCTGGGTCAGTGTTTTTGTTCAGTGGTGTGTGGTTGCTGGTGAGTATTTGCTTCAGGTTGGGAGGGTGTCTGTCAGCTAGGCCAGATCTGGCTCCC